GGAGGAGCTATTGTCTCATAAGGTCCAGAAGAGAGCTTTCTCCTGAGCCTGTGTGGTGGCACCAGGCTCTGCAGGTCCCTCTGACCACATGCAGCATGGGCATGAAGCCACCTGTAGTCCCTGACTCTGGCAGCCCACTCTGAGAAAGAGAACCCCAACAGCATGGTATATCATGACACCTGGGAACTTCACATTGCTCCAATAAAGCTATTTTCTTTAGCCGCTTCTCTGGCTACCATTGTATAAATGCTCTAATTTAGTAGCAACCCGAGCAGCACGTGACAAGATCTGAGGTCAGAGAGGTCAATATACACTTACGTTGTATGCTATATATGTTATACATACGGTACATGCATGCATTCATGTATGTGTGTGTACATACTGTGAAGTGTTTCATGATGCTATGTATGTGAAATTCCAACCGAATTTTTACTGTTTGGAGGACACTCTGTTGGTCTCCTGAGAATGCAGGCACCGAACAGCTTAAGAAGCCCCTGATCGTTAGTGACTACACACCAATTTGCAGAACTGCACACCATTATCATACACAGATACTTATGGCGCAGTCGGTATATTTGTCTAATTAGCTACTTGTGTTAATCTCGATCTTTCCTTGCTAATGAATTAGATTAAAAGAGCTTTAGTTTCAGCTCCAGTTTCACTCACTGTCCAAGTAATATTTTTCATATTGACCAAAGTATCTTGCATGTCTTTCTCTTTTCTATTACATTTTCTTCTCAAGTACAAGCATTTCTTTTACAAAAGACTTGACAAACAATGGACAAAATGCACATGCAGTAATACTTCCACAATTTCCAATCAGAATTTTGGAAAAAAATATGGACTTTTCGTTTTAGAGAAATGTTAACCATGCAACTAACATGACTGTATTTTGATCCTCTGCATTACACTGAATGACTAAAGCTCAGCTACAAGTCTTAGCCTTTCTACTGCTGACCTCTAGAGACTCTCCCTTAGCTTTTCAGGACAATAAGGTTTATTCCTGCTTTGGCCATGGCATCCAAACATACACAGTGCTCAACATAGTGACTAAATAAATACACTGGACACTGATTATGTAATAATCATATATGTATGTATATTCATATAATTTCAGTGCTCTCCTACTTTCTATTCCATATTAAAGGAACAAAGAGAAGAAGAGAGCAATTTACACTTTTAATTGTATTTTTTTAAATCAAATGTTTTGAGACATTTTGGATCAAGATTTCTGATTTGAGCAAGTTCAAATATTTGAAAACTTGCAAAATGCAAGAGGTTGTATTTCAGATCTATTCAGTGTCAAGATATGTTTAGATTCAAGACTTCTGTTTAGGTACTTCTAAACTGAAATATTTAAGATAATATCTTAGTCATATTCCTTCTCCCTCCTACAGTTCCTGATCCTGATCTCTTCAGTTAAGCATGGCCTCACTTGATGTACACTCAAGAAGAGGATCCCTGTTTAGAGGACCTGTTCCTGGAGCTGCCCAGGATTCTGGGGGCCTGGCTCTGCATTCTGCACTCAAAGAGATTTCAACAAACTTGTCTCCAGCTACAGACCAAGATGCAGAAAGGGAATTTGAAGCCTTAGATGAGAGCCTGATTCCGGTGTGTTGCCCTCCTACAGCTTCCTGGAGGAGCTATTGTCTCATAAGGTCCAGAAGAGAGCTTTCTCCTGAGCCTGTGTGGTGGCACCAGGCTCTGCAGGTCCCTCTGACCACATGCAGCATGGGCATGAAGCCACCTGTAGTCCCTGACTCTGGCAGCCCACTCTGAGAAAGAGAACCCCAACAGCATGGTATATCATGACACCTGGGAACTTCACATTGCTCCAATAAAGCTATTTTCTTTAGCCGCTTCTCTGGCTACCATTGTATAAATGCTCTAATTTAGTAGCAACCCGAGCAGCACGTGACAAGATCTGAGGTCAGAGAGGTCAATATACACTTACGTTGTATGCTATATATGTTATACATACGGTACATGCATGCATTCATGTATGTGTGTGTACATACTGTGAAGTGTTTCATGATGCTATGTATGTGAAATTCCAACCGAATTTTTACTGTTTGGAGGACACTCTGTTGGTCTCCTGAGAATGCAGGCACCGAACAGCTTAAGAAGCCCCTGATCGTTAGTGACTACACACCAATTTGCAGAACTGCACACCATTATCATACACAGATACTTATGGCGCAGTCGGTATATTTGTCTAATTAGCTACTTGTGTTAATCTCGATCTTTCCTTGCTAATGAATTAGATTAAAAGAGCTTTAGTTTCAGCTCCAGTTTCACTCACTGTCCAAGTAATATTTTTCATATTGACCAAAGTATCTTGCATGTCTTTCTCTTTTCTATTACATTTTCTTCTCAAGTACAAGCATTTCTTTTACAAAAGACTTGACAAACAATGGACAAAATGCACATGCAGTAATACTTCCACAATTTCCAATCAGAATTTTGGAAAAAAATATGGACTTTTCGTTTTAGAGAAATGTTAACCATGCAACTAACATGACTGTATTTTGATCCTCTGCATTACACTGAATGACTAAAGCTCAGCTACAAGTCTTAGCCTTTCTACTGCTGACCTCTAGAGACTCTCCCTTAGCTTTTCAGGACAATAAGGTTTATTCCTGCTTTGGCCATGGCATCCAAACATACACAGTGCTCAACATAGTGACTAAATAAATACACTGGACACTGATTATGTAATAATCATATATGTATGTATATTCATATAATTTCAGTGCTCTCCTACTTTCTATTCCATATTAAAGGAACAAAGAGAAGAAGAGAGCAATTTACACTTTTAATTGTATTTTTTTAAATCAAATGTTTTGAGACATTTTGGATCAAGATTTCTGATTTGAGCAAGTTCAAATATTTGAAAACTTGCAAAATGCAAGAGGTTGTATTTCAGATCTATTCAGTGTCAAGATATGTTTAGATTCAAGACTTCTGTTTAGGTACTTCTAAACTGAAATATTTAAGATAATATCTTAGTCATAAAAATAAAATATTTAGGATTTTTTTTTTTATCAATCTTAATAAATTATCACTGACATCAATGAAATACTGTTTAAGCCAAGGCTCATTAAAGATTGCAGAATGTTATCTAAAACTTTCTCTTCAGTTAAATTGCTGAATGTATTAAATGAAAATTAAATTTCAAACACACACCTTTATGATTGAGTAGAAACTATTTCTATGCATTTCATATACCAGGAGAAACACACACTGAATCCTACAGTTTGTTTGGTCAAAATCAAATGGAATCCAAACCTCATGAGATTCCAAAACTTCTGGTTTCAGATCTGTTTCTGATGAGACAAAACAGTTTCCCCCAGAGTTAGGCAAATAATCTAAAAGAATCACCATGGGACTTCTTCGCCACTGAGTGGAAAGAGATGCTCACCTGCAGAAGTCAATTTCTCATCAACCCCTAATACCTCTTGGAAGACAAAATGCCTGCATTTCTCCACTGACTAGGTAAAAAGCTTGGAGTAACAACTTTAAGGGGCTAAAATTGGGTTGAAATCACTTGGTGGAATCTACAATTAATCTCATCAGTTCCTTGTACCTTGTAACAGGTGATATGATAAAGAATAGTTATTCCTACATTTCAAAATGTATTTGTGGGTTTTGCAGACAATGATAAAAGAGTATTAATCTACATTTGACAATGCATTTAGCTAGCCTTTCAGCAATGCAGAAAACAATGTAATCTGGAAAGGGAGCAGCATCAAGTGTAGGCTGAGAGACAATCCTCTGACCTCTTTATTCTAATAGACATAAATAGACAATGGTTTGAGCAGAAAATATCTTTTCAAAGCCTTATATTTCTCATGCAGTGCCCTGATTTAGCATTGATAATGTTCACGGATATCTTGTTCAGACTTGTTCAAACTGGGTAACACAGAAAGTCTACTGAGAAATCCTGTTATAGCTAACAACATCCTATATATTCAAAGTGTCTGTTTTCAGAGCACGTATAGCAATATTTCTACCCATCTGAAAGGGGATTTTAAAAAAACCTGGATAACTTAATATCGTTGTAGAAAATTAATTGTTACCATTGTATTTTATTATATAGTTAATCATGGACAAGCTGTATTATCAATGAAGAGGTAAGATAAATATTTCTTTCATCAGTAAGAGAAGTCAGTCAGAGGGTAAGATATCCATCCTGAAAAGCTGATAATGTGATCTGAGTCTCACACTCCCAGAAATTTATTAATCTAGTGTCTATTCAACTGGCAAATTGTTGTTTGTGTGCTTCCTGGTACAGACACAAAACAATGAACAGTTCAAGCCCATTACATTATCATAGCTAATAGTAGCTTTTAGTATGCTGATCCAGCTAGCCCAGAAGTATAGCCTTCACAGTTTCAAAGAAACCACAGCCTATTAGGAGCAATTAATTGGCTCTGTAAACACTTCCACATTGGACTTATTGAACAGCATGAAGATAAGCGAAAGTTCTCTGTCTCATTTGCTTTTCTTCATTTATGGTTTATATCAGATGTTTTTGCATTCCAGTCCTCTCACAGGATGGATAATTGAAAACATCAGCCCTACATGGGAGCAATTTCCACTGCAGCAAATCTTAACAGAAAAGGAAATTTTAAGAAGTCCAGATGCCATCAGAGCTTTGTGGTGTCTATCAGACCTTTGGGAAATGTTGCCTGAGCTCAGTTTAAATGAGGAAATATTCCAGGGTTAGTGAAAAAGACATGAGCACTTGTGTGCGGCAGTTTTTGGCAGGCAGCTGGGCTTCATAAATGCCTTAAAAAAAAAAAAAAAAGAAAGAAAGAAAGGCAGCACAGCTGTAGAGTAGAAATTCTCATTCATCCAGGTCACACAGAAACCACAGGTTTCTGCGCTCATGCGCTAGCTCAGACTCAGTTTGCAGCTTAACAAAACCACCTCAAAGCAACAAAACAACAGCAGCATTTTCTTTAACAGGACAGCAGGTGATGTTTAAATTTCCTTACCAGCTTGGCCTGCGGAGGAGTCAAACTGAATCTCAGGAGGGGTGCCTTCTGCATGAGTGGAAGATGCTGGCAGCCTCAGAACAAGTTGATCCATGTCGCTTCCCCCTGGTTGATGCTGATCAGACCCGGCAGAGCTGAGGACCAGGAGAGGTTTGCTCCGCTGCCCCACTCCCTCCTTGTGGAATCTGTGGTATTTTCGGTTTTCCTCGCCAAAATGGGGACTAAAAGTCTCAAAGGATCGGCCCTGCTTCTCAGCTGTTTTGTCCCGGGGCTTCAAATTTTTCTGAGAAAAGGTGCCACCTGCCTTGCCTCTGTAGTTGGGCCCATAATCAGGCAGAGGGCCTTCGCTCAGCAGGTTTTTCAACTCCTGCAAGCTTCGTCTAGAAATGCCAGGTGCCCCTGAGAAGGACTCTGCAGTACTGCTCCCGTCTGTGGCTACAGCACCGCCCAGGGAGCCCATCTTTCTCACGTGAAACTTGACAACTTTTTCTTCCATCCCACCCCGTTGCTGCTCTGCCTTCTCGCCGCCCTCTCCCCCGCAGGCCGCCCCTCCGCACGCAGCCTTCCCTGAGCTCCTCGAGGGTTGTACACTCACGGGATGCTCCGTCTTAGCTGGTGGGACTATTTCCATCTGTGTTTTTCCTATTGTTCTTTTCCCGGTGTCATCATTATCCCGGTTTTCTTGTGTTTCTCCAGACATCTCTTCTTTTGCATCACCACCAGTACGGGAAGTGTCATGACCCGCTCTGTCCCTTTCTCCTGGAAGAAAGCTAGTCGGGTTTTGAAGAGGCTGGTCTGGTGGTGGTTCTGAGCAACTGGTGGCTCCCTGAAGGGGACTAGCATCCGAGATTTTCGAGGTGCGGAACAGCTCCATGTTCTCATTTTCTAAAGGAGGAACGCACTTCGTAGGGCCTTTGACTCCCTTTTTCCTTCTGAAACCACATATATTGTTGCCATCAACTTCATCATTGTCATTTTCAGATGTGTTCTGTAACCAGCAATAAAATATACAACCAAATAACACTCATGAATGGAACAGAACATGGTAATGGAGTGCTACCACCAGCTGCCTTTACTTTGTAGCACTTCCATTACTTCTTGCTGATGAAGGTCTCTGTGAGCACTTAATGACCCTCAAATTCTGCTATTTTGATTTTAAAAAACATCATTGAATTCTTTTTCTCATATTTTAGAAAAAGATGCTTTCATAATATAGTTTTAAGGTAGATTTGGTAGGTTAAAACGTAAGACATTGTACACTGCGTGACACCATTTGTCAAACATGCACTTTAAAGGCATTTGTATTTATAAAGGGAATTTAGTGCCCTGAAATGCAGAACTCTGGCAATCCTTATAAGTATGAGGAGTGAAACCTGAAAATAAACAGCTTTAGAATTAATTTCAGGATCTAATTTGGCTCAATAACTGGACTTCCAGGGCAGTGGTCAAAAGGACAAACCTATATTTGGATGTGTAAACAGGAAAAAAAGAGAAGACAATGGTTACCTTTATATATGGCATTGATAGGATTTATTTTGTAGTGTTGGGAGCAGATTTTAAAATGGATGTGGAGACGGTACAAAAAGAAGCTACAAAAATTATTCTGCTTGTGTTATGCCAAAGAACATCAAGAAGTGTCTGGATCATCATCCTTCCCAAGAATTCTGATCCTGACACAACTGTGATTAATCTGATGGCTACAGGGAAAAGGACAGGAAATCAAAACCAGATACATTCAAATTAAAAAATAAAAAATTAAAATAAGAGATTTTAATACTGTGGCTGGTTAATTATTTCACAAGCTATCAAGGTAGAGACTGAATTCTCCATCTCATGATGTCTTAATAAAGACATTAACACCTGTAAAAACACTGGGGAACCAAGAGATGTCCTCTGAGTGAGACCGTGCTTTACCTTTTCCACAAAGAATAATCTGCACTCTCTCCAATTTCTGAATTTCCAGAATGAGTGGTGATCTGCACAAAAGCAAAGTGAATGCCAGTCTGGATAAGGCAGAAGAGATTCTGTTGGCAGACAAAAGCACGTAGAAGAAAAGGCAGCAGCATCTGATGTGCTGAACATGAACATATCCCTTTATTCCTCTTCATTTTCCCTATTTTCTCATTATGCTATTTTCCATCATTACCTAGTCAAAAAAGGCTTACGGCTTCTCTCCTAACATAGAACTCGGAGAAATATTTCCTCCCTCTTTCCCTTTTTGCTCAAAATTTCTGTGACGTGCAGCTGCTTTGGGGGCTGCCGGGGCGCTGCTGTTAGTGGGGACGGCAGCCAGCTGCCAGCTTTGTTGGCAGGACAAGCCAATAAATATATATATAAATAGCTCTATAGCAGGACAAGTCCCTCTCTGCCTGGAATTCGCATGCACATGTTTCAAGAGTGATGTGCTTGTGATCCCCAATCACAATCAAATGCAGTTACTGGCTCATTCACAACAGAAATCCTTGCTTACCCCAGTTTTAACACAGAGTTTTTAATTAATCCATTTCTTCCACAAAATGTTTTGGTTTACTTCCATAATACACCCTACAGTAGCCCATAAAATAATTCTGGGTGTGTTGCTGATACCTCTACACATCCACATATGCAGAATAGGCCTAATTCCTATAGTTCTGCATCATTATGGAATGGAAAGGTAATGAATGAACTTTCCCGCATAACAAAGCAGACAAAAAGTGCTGATAAGGGAGAATTTTAATACCTCCATTAGTAAAGCAAGAAAGTGAATGAAGCTGGGGGAGAAACAGTAGGGGTGGAAGAACCAATGTCTGCCAAATGGAAAAATCCAAAAGATTTTTAATAACAGAGGCATCGAATTGAATTTCTTGATGTATAAAAATATTTTTTGAACCAATGTCTGCCAAATGGAAAAATCCAAACGATTTTTAATAACAGAGGCATCAAATTGAATTTCTTGATATAATTCTTGATAATAAAAATATTTTTTAAGAGAAAGGGGAGAAGAGTTCCAGCTACGAAAGCTATAGTTGTAAAAAGATTGTGGTTTTTAATGAATTTATGAAAAATATTTACTTAAATATCTTTCATGGCAGAGGCTGCCATCACCGAAATACCCTGATTTCCACTTTATAAAGTATTCAGAATTCATTTCCTTTGAAACTTGAAAGCTGCAACATAATCATAACACCATCTGCATTTCTGCTTTATAATATATTCCAACTCAATGTTCAAAGATAGCCATTGAAAATATTAATGTTAAACTAAGTTTTTGCCTGTTGTCCCTATTGTAGATCTCTGAAAAATGTTCAATAAAACCACTGAAGGAAAGATGAGTGCATCCTTTCTTATAACACCTTCATACTGGATTCAGACAAAGAGTGGTTCGTGTATTAAAAGCAAAATGTCAGAACACTGCCTATTCACATAATTAGCCATTCCAAATGGTTTCATGAGCACAAGGTACCATCCCTACTTTATAATCCTTACCAAAACAAATTCTTTCTGAATAGAAATAGGCAGGATAAGGACGAGACACTTGTAAATTTGTTAATGGAAAGACTGATTTGCAACAGATCTCTAATAACTAGTGTGCCTATAGTAGTAGTAGGTTTATTTTCCATTAAAGAATTGAGACTATGGTACTGCATTATGATCATAGACCTCAAAGAGATACTGTGCCCATTGCTCTTAAAAACAGTGATCATTTTCACCTTCAACTAAACAAAACTCTTACACTTATACAGAGACCAATCTATGTATTATTTCAGGTGCTCAGCACCAGGCACACTGTGACTTTGTGCAGGTGTACGACTCTTAATTTCTAAAGAAATTCATTGACTTTCATTTAGAAATCGATGACAGTATTTTCTGCAGTGAACCAAGCACTAAATTTGTTGCAAAGGTGCAAACACAGCATCCCTCCCTCATATGCATGACACAGCCTTACTCATCTAGTAGTTTATGTGGTGTCTACCATCAGAAAAGGCCTAATACCTGGGCACAGATGGGAGGACACCCAAGAAATAGGACTTACGAATTATCTCTTTTACTTTTTATTTCTATCAAGTTTTTTTTGCAGAAGACAGGGTTGATTATGTAAAATAGCAGCTTGAAAGAGTTACAGCACAAGTGGATTGGATACATATTGTGACTTAATTTCATGGAACCATGTGTCCTGCTGTGCTGAAAGGAAAGCAAAAAAAGCTATGGTATTAATATGGCAAAAGTTTTAATTATTTTTTATTTCATGGCTGAGTATTTCAGTCTGAGCATGTGTAACTATCAACAGAGCAGAAGGGCTACTCTCGTGCTTTATGGCAGCATCTTAGGGCACCATGCAGGTAGGAAGAGGAGAGAATACAGGACAGTATGGACAAGCAAATATTTCATCACTGTGCAGATGAAACTGTTTGCTCTACTTAACCCAATTACATGCCACTTCTGGCATGCCACCAGGCTTCTACAGATGAGAGACATTTTATATCTTCTGGTAACGCAGAAAACATACATCTAAAGCAATTTTTCTTAGTCAGTTTGCATCCACTTTTAGGCTTCATACAAGCTCTGCAGTGGAACATTAACTGTATCATGAAATACAGCACTGCCAAAAGGCAGTTCATCTGTAAACCTGCCAACCCACAAGCTGAGAGCATTTGGAAATGTAAAGTGTTGCCTTTGGGACGAATAGTAAGTGCTGAGATTTCTGGTGTGTGAAACACAGGTGAAAATCCAAGTCAGTTCTTGAACTTTTGCCTTAAAAGGATTTTATAGGTGACCGAAAATATATCTGTAATGCTCTATAAGGCAAATTCAGAGGCTGTGGAGGGGAACTTCTATTTTTCTGCTACATTTTCTTTGTGTCGTCACCTCAGGCAAGAGTGCAAACACTATTACAAACCTCTCTCAAAAACATTTTGACAAAAAGAGACAGGGAAATGAGAAGAAGAAACTCACACTATAGCATTTGAAAGGAGAAAGTGGGAGAAACAGGAAGAAAAAGGGAGCAAAAGGGAGAAAGGGAGTTAGTTTAAAAGATGCTCCAAGTAAATGTAGGTGAATAACTGCAGAAGTATTTATACCACAGAAAAAGTTGAAAGAGGCAGGGTGTTACTCTAGCAGGAGCTTTCGTACATCTATTCAACAAGATAACCCAATGTTCCTGCTACTGGATACCCCAAAAAGTGATGCAAACATGCAGCAAAATATGGATCCCAGTGGGTCCCAGCCACATTCTCACTTTCTCTTTTGTTTCAGATGTTTAAACAATTTTAGCCATTATTTTAACTGATTGTTTAGAGGTCAAATTGTGATGATCTTCCTTCCGTTGCTAAAGATTTTTCAAGAACAAAAGCTTGATTTTGCAAAGAACATCAAAATGTGAAAATCTGGTATAACTGAGAATTAGAAAACCATGGGAAACTGAAACAGAATGTCAAAAATATGTAAGGATTGGCTGGGTGAATTTTTTATTTATGAAAACTTAAAACTGCTTTGTTTAGGCTTGACTTTTTTTTCTATCATATGTTGAAAACACATGTTGAAAACAATGTTGAAAAATTGGAATGAAATGTTTCTAATCTAAAAAAAAATCTAAAAATATTGTTCAAGTGATGTTGGCATGTGACATTATTCACATTGTTTGTTTTCTGTGTTCAGTTTTATTTCAAAAGTAACACAGTTTTTGAAAGTTTTTCAATTGCTATGAAACTAAACGCTGAGGAACTTTTTCTGTTCCACTCTGGCTGGGTTACCCTTCACAGCTCCCCAGGTTGTTACCTTCAAGTTTAGTTAATCTTTTTGTGTAGTAACAAATTTCAAAATCTTTAAGCCAAGTCAAGAGGAGATGCTGTTTTAGACCTTACACAGCAGTGCCCATAAAGCAGGTACACCCGTGTCCAAGTCCTATCCCTGCCCCTTCTCCTGACAGATGGAAAGCATTACCCAGCTGCTCCTCCAGTAACCAGGCAGCGAAGGAGCACAGACCCCAGGAACAAATTATCTACTGCTGGGAATTAATGCAGCTTCACTGGAGTCACTGGAGCTACCACAGATTGGTACCAGGAGGGAATCTGGCCGTGGAGTCATACAGAGGACAACATAGACATTTCCATGGAGTGGCTCCAGGCACAGAGAGGGGCTCTGGCTCTTGCACGGTGTTAAAACAATAAAATGCTACAATAAACAGACAGTGGTGGCTTGTAAACTAGAGACAGGAAGATCACAGCACATTGTCAAGACATTACTGTGACTAATTTCTCCCCCGGTGACCTTGGTTGATGAAGTGGCTCTTTGAGAGTGATTTACTGCTACAAAATCCTTCTAGTGAAGGACCTCCAAGTAGCATAAATATTAGGTACATGTGATTATTTTGCAGTTAGAGAAGCTGAAGCACAAACTTGCCATAGGTCACAGGAAGACGTGGTAACATTAAGAGCAGAAGCAAAGTCTCCTTCCTTCCTTGAAACTTTTAAATATATACTCAAGATTATTAACATCCTTCATGTGAAAATTAATAGAAGGAGTTCAGCTCACAATATTGTGCCATTTATTTTCACATCTGACATCTGTCTTTATCTGCTACTCCAACCCAAAGCCTTCACACTCTATATGCAATTATTAGATGAGCTCTTCAAGGTCATTGATTGTCTTGCTGCCTTAAAGTAGCAGAGTTGTCCTTGTGGCAAGGTTTTTTCCAAATACTTTCCCTCAGCCTATGCCACCTGCACCATGTAATAAAAAGAAACCTAAATTATGATAGAGTCTCAAAATGAAGAAGCTGAAACTGCCTTCACGGTGATTTGGGACCACAAAAGTACACTGGCGGTGTCATCTCCAATTTGCAGCAGTGTAAATGAGATCTAAAAGCAGGACCCATTTAACAGTTGACTAATCCTCAGGAAGACATTTGTGAGGGAGTGAACTTAATGATCTACAGGAATTTTATGTCTAATTTCCATGACTCATTTCATATACAAATATGGTCTAGGAGGCAGTCAGTGACTCAGAATAGGTGCATCTCTGGCATATAAAGTATCCATTTGTTTACCTTGATAAAAAATGTCTAACAGCCTCAGGAAGTCTGCCTGCACTGTTAGTTCCAAGCCACATTACATCTTTCTCAGTATTTGCAACAAAACACTTTAATTTCAAGTTTTCACAATGAGATCTTCTAAATACTACTCAAAATAGCAGGTACATTATTTTATTTTTCTTTATACATCTGACAAATTCAGGACCAGAAGCTGTTTTTAAATGCACTCATCCAGAAATTGAGCAGCTCCACTCAGATTGGTAGCCTGACTTCTGAGTGTCACTTTCTAACAGGTCACACTCTGGTCCACAAATTGTAGTGCTTTCATTTACATTAATGAAGCCAAAGACAACCTGCTTTCCCACAAATATTAATGGGGTCAGATTTTAGATGTCTATTGCTTTTGATAAAGGTATAACTTAAAGAAAAAAGAACATAAACTGAGTTAGATTTTCTTCCTAAAGCAAATGGAGTTTTTCCAGTTTAAACAAGCCTTTCTTTGACCAGCATTTGCTTTGGAATTAGACCATGCTCAACATACATGCACGAAGAGCCTTGTGCATAATCCACAACGAAGTATTCACTCATTTAAAATCTTGTAGCGGGTGCAAAAAGCATTTTATATCAGCGTATCTGCTTGAACATCATTCACAGTCAGCCTCTTACCTGCTGAGTACGATCTTCCTCTTCGTTCATGTCCACTTCATTCTTGTTCAGGTCACCATTAGAAATGGCCTGGTTAAAACCTAGTAGAAAGACATGCTGTATTTATAGGCGCAGGTACAATAAAAGTTAGTTAAAAACAGAATTGCTGTAAAGTTCTTTTCCCAGAAGGCCACGCAGATGATGAACCCCAGAGAGCAACCCCAACGAGCTGTGGCCAAGAGCACTGCTTTCTGGAACAGCGTTAAAGTAGTAAACTGACAAACGCACGTTATTAGCTGCCTGCCTGCCTGGAAACAAAGGCAAGGGAGTATAAAACTGTTTTGCTCAACTTTTCTCCTCACAAAAGGCTTTTGTCCTGTAGCAAGCCGTTTCTGTTCTGGAATAGAAGCTATTGTCAGGCTCCTTAGAGGTAAAACCTATACTGGGCACTACAACAACAGTATGTTATTGAGGCACGTGGACAGGGCTATGAAAACCCCAGCACGCAGCAAGAACAACGTGCGGTACCAGCCCATTATTCTGGGTGCTTGCACATTGTTAATTAACATTGGTGGATCTGGCTGTGTTAGAATTGGGGGGAGGAGGATCTAATTTTGCATTAGATCTCTAAAAATATTTCAAAGATTAGATGGTTAACCTCTTCTTTCTTGCAAAAAATATTTCAAAGATTAGATGGTTAACCTTTTTTTCTTGTGCCTTTTTATTTATGAGCTTTAACATGAATTTAAAGGACTGGGTTTAAGTGACATTTCACTCATTCAAGTTTCCTTAGCAGACATAACATTACAGGATGACCATATTGTGCTATTCTGGGTGCTTGCACATTGTTAATTAATATTGGTGGATCTGGCTGTATTAGAATTGGGGGGAGGAGGATCTAATTTTGCATTAGATCTCTCAAAATATTTCAAAGATTAGATGGTTAACCTCTTCTTTCTTGCACCTTTTTATTTATGAGCTTTAACATGAATTTAAAGGACAGGGTTTAAGTGACATTTCATTCATTCTATTTCCTTTAGCCTACATAACATTATAGGATGACCATATTGTGTGTGCTTACAGCAACCCTTCCCAACAACTGATCACTTAATAAACTCAAGTAATCATGATGTTAAGATTGGCATTTAACCCTGTGAAAATGCAGGTTTGGCATTTTTTTATACTTTAAAAAAATAAAAAGTAAAAAAAAAAAATTAGTTTGTTGAAATTACCCCATCAAAATAATGACTCTGAGTTAAGAGCTATAGTTCACAAAAATCTAAGTCATCACCAGTGAAATGCAGAAATATGGGTGCCCAAGTACCAAACTGTGAATCCAAGAATGTTCCCTTGTCTTGGAGACACTGGACTGAGAGAGCTCCTAACTTTGTGACTCCATCTGTGCAATTTCCGTACCTGCCTCTGTTCTCAACCATCCCCCTTGTTACAGAGCAGAGCAGGCAATAAATGAAAGTTTATTAGCATTCAAGAAATAGGCTTGCATATAAGACTTGACATTTTGTCAAGCAGACATTAAAAAAAATCAACACCCAGCACACTCCATCAGACTGGGCTCCTGCAAGACAGATGGGATGGAAGTCAGCATTTTGCTTGCAGGATACTTTTTCCAAAGTAGTTGTCCTCAGACCGTCATCATACAACAGTTAGCACAATTGCACAGGTCCCTTTTTCAGGCTACTTACAGATGTCATAGACCCATAGCTTGCCATGGCAGAGTCGTTTGTGAGTCTATGTTGTGATGAGCTGTGCAAAAAGGAGAACGCTTCTGAGCAGGACTATTCATATCAAATAGTCTGAGAAGCAGAGGCCAGACAGAAACAGGTCTTCTGCCTTTCCATTTTTCACATTATGAATATGAGCATTAAAAAAACTCAGCTCATAGTTTGAAAAAGGGACACCAGGATAAAAATTTCATTCATCAGAGCAAGAAAAACATTCTTCACAACAAGAATGGTCAAACCCTGGCACAGGTTGCCCAGAGAGGCTCCATCCTTGGAGATATTCAGAACTTGACCGTACAAGGCCATAAGTAACCTGATACAACTTCAAAGCTGGCCCTGATTTAAGTGGTGGACCTAATGTGATGACTACCACAGATGCTATCCAGCCTAACTTATTCTTTGATTTTACATCTGACTTATTTATACATATTTTTTTAATCTTCATTACATTTTTGCAAGTACAAAACATCTCTACCATAATTGTATTCTGTTCTACTCTTGTCCTGCTAAACAGAACATAAAGACAAGAAAGAACTACTTGTGAGACACCAGTCTTCAAACATGGTTAGTAATGAATAATCTTTTCATTAGAACTGGAAGGATCAACTATTTCCATATCAAGTGCCTATTAGATCCCCCTAGAAATAGTGTTTTGTTTGGTTTTGTTTTCTGGATAGAGTGAAATAGAGGGAGAAGGTTCTCTGCCAACACATGCCTGTGTGGCTGCTGGTTTCAGTAGACCTGTGCTGATCAGAGAAGCTGAGAATCTGATCCAGAAGCTGATGGAAGCCCATTTCACATCGAACTCACTACACAGAGTACTGCAAAGAGCACCATTTGCCCAGTAATACTCATCTTCCCACCTTCAGGAAATACGATGGATCAGGCCAAATCCACCATTTCTGCATAAGAAATATCCTTTTTTTTTTTCTTTGTAAATAAACTGTCTTTTATATATGGATTCATAAAGAAATTTTCTGTCAGACCATGGGAAACTGAAACAGCTTTTGCATGGATGTGGGAGTATTGCTCCATAAAAACAAGCCTCTCTACAGTCTTTCCCAAAAAAATCTCCAGAAGAAGGCATCTTATGAGATGAGAAGCATTCTGTTAGTATCCAGTTGAGAGAGGGGAAGATAAATGAATGGGTCCATGCTTATTTTACATTTATCATCTAATTCTGCATGAGAGGCATTATAAATGGTGAATTCCAAATCCCTGCATTGGCCACCAAAAAAAAGGGTAAAATAGTATGGCATAACGACTGCTGCTTGACCAGGAACACATCGCTGAGAAACATCAGTACCAACCCCACCCCACCGACCTCGCTACCTGGCAGATGGGTGGGCTGGAGCAGACCTGCTTCTCAGGCTGTTCCTCTTTCAGCAGGCTTTTGCAAAAACCTGCTTTTGCATGGATGTGGGAGTATTGCTCCATAAAAACAAGCCTCTCTACAGTCTTTCCCAAAAAAATCTCCAGAAGAAGGCATCTTATGAGATGAGAAGCATTCTGTTAGTATCCAGTTGAGAGAGGGGAAGATAAATGAATGGGTCCATGCTTATTTTACATTTATCATCTAATTCTGCATGAGAGGCATTATAAATGGTGAATTCCAAATCCCTGCATTGGCCACCAAAAAAAAGGGTAAAATAGTATGGCATAACGACTGCTGCTTGACCAGGAACACATCGCTGAGAAACATCAGTACCAACCCCACCCCACCGACCTCGCTACCTGGCAGATGGGTGGGCTGGAGCAGACCTGCTTCTCAGGCTGTTCCTCTTTCAGCTGCTTGTCCCATCTCTCTTCCTCTTCTCCTTTTCCACTCGATTACAGAAGCACCTTTCCCAGTCTTTAATCCCTTCGGGTAGGGGTAGCAAAATTTAGTTCTTCCTTGCTGAGAAGCCTTCAGATAGTTTCAATCTTAACATTAGCATAACTCTGTGCTCAAAATGTTTGGGGTTTTTTTTCCCCCATTTTATACCAGCTACAAAATCTCATTTAACATAGTTATTAGCAATCCCAGTTCCTCAAGGGTGTGTACCATGCAGACTAATATTTTCATAGCTATATGTTTTTGGTAGCATCACTTGGAAAGAGAGCCTCAGAAGACCAGCCCATAAGGATGTTCTCTGAAGGAGAAGTAGAGATTTACACAAGATGATCCATTTCTTTTAGAAAGTAGAACTGATATCATGAGTTTGCGTAATTATTTAATTTAAATGTGCCAGGCTTCAACCACAGTTTATCAAATATTAATCTAAAAACCTAGACACTTTGGAAATGTAAGGCAGACCAAACATCACCAAAGTGATCACTTAATACTTTAACTACAGATACTTCATACGCACTGTCTATGATGAATAAGTGGTAACGAGAAAGCGAAAACTGCTCATTATCCCATTAGCGGCTCTTCAGCAGCTAAAAAAGAGATACAGCTTGTCTGATGACAGCTAAAGCAGCAAATGGCTGCCAATTCAGGGGAACTCTCTGCTGGCGAGCTGCCAGCAGCCTTCACGAACACAACTTCACCCCCATCAGGGTTTAGAACTATTTCTGATTCCAGCTACCGATGTCAGCCTTTCTTTCCAAAAAAGAGATTAAAATTATCACTGCTTGTACTTTCCTCCCATTCAGATTGGCTTTTCAGAAGGGGAAATTTCCATGTACTCTGAATGAACATCATTTTAGGAAGCAAAGAATCAAGCCTCAGGGCTTGAAACACCAGGAAACTGATTTCATCCCGGCTAGTGTAGGTTATCTTCAGCTGTTAATTTCAGTGGGTGACCAGAAATCCCGAAATTGTTCAAAAGAAACTTTAGAAGGTAAAGATTTTGTAGCTGGGATAGGTCTTGGATAGTGCCTAATGATTTTTGGTTTGGAGGAAGGGAGAATTAGATCCTGTGACTTGGCCATAGGCATGGAAAATTTCTCAGCATAATTTTATCACTTCTTTTTATCACCTAAATATTATGGGGTGCTGTCGCTTCCATTTCTAATCCCTCCAGGCATGCCAAAAGGCACCTGTCCACCCTGACTGGCTTCAAGAGTGGTCCTCTCCTTAGACATAGGTAGAGTAGGTAACTAAAGGTTAACAGAGGAAACACTTCAAATCAAAAACTGTTTCCTCCAATTTCAGAAGCCTTAAAAATAAAAGGCCTTTTAAAGGCCTATAGTATTCTCATTCCATGTGGAGATTTCCAAACTGGTGCAAGCTGGCTAGTGCCAACTAACACCCACACTGTGCATTACTGTGAGGATATACAAGCTAAGACTATAAAATTCTATACTAATATATAAAAGCCAGCATTACAAAGCCAAAGGAGAAATTTGAACACCAAAATCCTTTCAGGAAAATCTAACAATGTGTTCTTTCACTAATAGGATATATTTCTGTTTTTTCCACTAACCTTATGCTTTGGGATCATTATTAAACATTATTATCATTATTAAACAACACTGTAGTTTGTCTTGCACAGTTGTCTTTTTCTTTGCCATTTCTTCACAGCTGACATAAAATATAATTCAGTGTCAAGGTTTCAAAAGACTTCAGCTAGTTAAATTCCAGTTTATATTGCCACCTAGTAAAATATGAAAAAAAATATATATATATAGAAAACAGCATGGATTTGCACTCATCCTTACTCATTCGCTGTAGCTGTCTTTTCTGCTAGGTCCTCTTTCAGGCTTTCTTCATATGGTTTTCTCTTCTGTCATTCTCACAGATATGCATTCACCACCCGTGGCTGCATTTACCCAGTACCCGCTATGGGTTGCCCAGTGATTTATACTCTGGTTAGATAGCCATGACACAGCGAGGCGCTGCTCAGTCCTCTATTTGCAGGTGCCAAGACGTAGGCACAAATGGTGCTCACAGACAAGGATAGGACTGAAAAATTGGCCTAAGACCTATTAAAAGTTAATGAAGTGAACTTTTATATCAATGGCACACATAAGAAATCTTATAAATAGGTATGAGCAGTAATTTTATACTCATAATATACTACAGTTGTCAAAAAGGTTGATTTGAAACTGTAGCTGTGTTGTGAAAAACTGAAACTACAACTGAATTGTGTTTCAAATTATGTCTTAGTGTATGCTTTCCATAATTTCAGCTTTAAAATGAAATGCCAGACCTTATTACACCTTTCCCAGTTCTTGGCCTTTTGTATATCAAATGTGCAAACAAAATGCACGGACCTTTTTATTTATTTTACTCTTGACAAAACACATTCGACTTATTTTCTATATTGAAAATTTAAAACAACTTTTCAAGTTTTAAAGAACCACTGATTAGGAGATAATGAAAAGTCTGTCATTCTATGAGGCAAAGCGATACTCTTACACAAACAGTCAAGCCCCTGAGAGTTTGTATCATTCTTAACAAGAGCAATCAAATATTTTTTCATCCTTTTCATTGCTTCCTATATCTTATTAAGTAACTAGAAATTATTCTGTTTCTTTTATCGATGTCTTTATTATTTTGCTTTCATTCTCTGCCAAAAATACTATTTCTCTGCCAGTCCAGAAGCTGGTCTGTTCTTTGTATACTAAACAGAGCCTTCTGCTAGAAGTCTTTCCTCATAGGCTAGCTTTTACTTGCAAAGCGTATAGTAAGTAAATGTAAAGTATATTATATATATGTATAAAATATATAGTAAGCATATAAGGTCTCAGTGTTTTCAAGCCTTGCCAGGTGCAGGGACAAGGAGGAGCAAGGCCTGGGCATTTGACCCAGGCTGGCCAACAGGGTTATTTCATACCATAAACGTCACATTCCATATAAATTAGAAAAGTTTGCTGTGTAGCTCTCTCTCCCTTGATGGCAGCGGGTCAGACAACTCCTTGCCCCGGTGCCGGAGCCCTGAGGCCTTCCCTTCCTCCTGAAGCCATTGCGCTGGCAGTGTCCGCCATTTGCTGTCCCTGTGGGGAGCGCACGGCTTCCTACTGAGAGAATGGGCTGAGTATAATTCTTGTGTATCTTATATCAGAATCGGGATTCATACTGGTTCTTTAGTATTATTGTTAATTATTTAGTCTCAGTCTATTAAATCTGTTTATATTTCAACCCCTGTGTTTCCTTGTGTTCCCTGATTCCCCTTTCCGGATGGGGAGGGGTCATCGGGTGATCGAATAATTGCCCAAACGGACTGGCTTCAAGAGTGGTCCTCTCCTTAGACATAGGTAGAGTAGGTAACTAAAGGTTAACAGAGGAAACACTTCAAATCAAAAACTGTTTCCTCCAATTTCAGAAGCCTTAAAAATAAAAGGCCTTTTAAAGGCCTATAGTATTCTCATACCATGTGGAGATTTCCAAACTGGTGCAAGCTGGCTAGTGCCAACTAACACCCACACTGTGCATTACTGTGAGGATATACAAGCTAAGACTATAAAATTCTATACTAATATATAAAAGCCAGCATTACAAAGCCAAAGGAGAAATTTGAACACCAAAATCCTTTCAGGAAAATCTAACAATGTGTTCTTTCACTAATAGGATATATTTCTGTTTTTTCCACTAACCTTATGCTTTGGGATCATTATTAAACATTATTATCATTATTAAACAACACTGTAGTTTGTCTTGCACAGTTGTCTTTTTCTTTGCCATTTCTTCACAGCTGACATAAAATATAATTCAGTGTCAAGGTTTCAAAAGACTTCAGCTAGTTAAATTCCAGTTTATATTGCCACCTAGTAAAATATGAAAAAAAATATATATATATAGAAAACAGCATGGATTTGCACTCATCCTTACTCATTCGCTGTAGCTGTCTTTTCTGCTAGGTCCTCTTTCAGGCTTTCTTCATATGGTTTTCTCTTCTGTCATTCTCACAGATATGCATTCACCACCCGTGGCTGCATTTACCCAGTACCCGCTATGGGTTGCCCAGTGATTTATACTCTGGTTAGATAGCCATGACACAGCGAGGCGCTGCTCAGTCCTCTATTTGCAGGTGCCAAGACGTAGGCACAAATGGTGCTCACAGACAAGGATAGGACTGAAAAATTGGCCTAAGACCTATTAAAAGTTAATGAAGTGAACTTTTATATCAATGGCACACATAAGAAATCTTATAAATAGGTATGAGCAGTAATTTTATACTCATAATATACTACAGTTGTCAAAAAGGTTGATTTGAAACTGTAGCTGTGTTGTGAAAAACTGAAACTACAACTGAATTGTGTTTCAAATTATGTCTTAGTGTATGCTTTCCATAATTTCAGCTTTAAAATGAAATGCCAGACCTTATTACACCTTTCCCAGTTCTTGGCCTTTTGTATATCAAATGTGCAAACAAAATGCACGGACCTTTTTATTTATTTTACTCTTGACAAAACACATTCGACTTATTTTCTATATTGAAAATTTAAAACAACTTTTCAAGTTTTAAAGAACCACTGATTAGGAGATAATGAAAAGTCTGTCATTCTATGAGGCAAAGCGATACTCTTACACAAACAGTCAAGCCCCTGAGAGTTTGTATCATTCTTAACAAGAGCAATCAAATATTTTTTCATCCTTTTCATTGCTTCCTATATCTTATTAAGTAACTAGAAATTATTCTGTTTCTTTTATCGATGTCTTTATTATTTTGCTTTCATTCTCTGCCAAAAATACTATTTCTCTGCCAGTCCAGAAGCTGGTCTGTTCTTTGTATACTAAACAGAGCCTTCTGCTAGAAGTCTTTCCTCATAGGCTAGCTTTTACTTGCAAAGCGTATAGTAAGTAAATGTAAAGTATATTATATATATGTATAAAATATATAGTAAGCATATAAGGTCTCAGTGTTTTCAAGCCTTGCCAGGTGCAGGG